GTCACCGACGCTTTACATTATTCGAATATTCGTAAAACATGTAGCTAATAGGAAAACATCGTGATGCAATTCAAAGAAGTGAAGAAATTCAAAGATACGTGTGAAGTCAACCAACCCGTACTTGGCCAGCGTGGTTGACTATGGCCTAATCACCCTTAACTCAGGGTAGGCTCCGAGCCCCTCGGTAGGGACGTATATGAATATAAAAAAGTATAGTATTATTAAAGAATTTACCTTAATAATTGTTTTAGCTTTGTATATGTTAGAATGAATGAAATGTAACAGTTGTTAATAATGTTAACTGCTGCCCACGGACTGTTGAGTCAGCTATTGTCCAAGTTATAGCGTTATAGCGGGTACAATTAGCTTCTATAACGTGATTTTTATAGGGCTGTCACTGATTTAATAACGGATAATTTGTTATTTTTTAAATGTGGAATGAAAAGATGATAGTATCTGTCGCCCGCGACTTCGTCCGCGTGCAATTAAAAATAAACTTTATTAGTAGCCTATTTGTTTTTTAAACAACGTTCTACATCTGTGTAAAATTTCTTCAAAAAAACATCCACCAATTTGCATTTATATTATTATATAATATGTATATATTAAGACCAAAGATTTAAAACTTATAAAATTGTGTCAGCTCACAAATGTCATTTATATTTTTGCATTAATAATAATAATAATAAGACATTTAATCTGTTCAAAAACATTACAACACTTATAACACAACCAAAAAGAGAAAAAAGAAAAAATCAAAAAAATTACAATGAAGCGTTGCAATGCAGAACAGATAGAGCCTTTGCTCAGCTGTATGTTTATTACCCTCGCATAACATTATGACACATATCATATATGAAATATCTAAATGGTGTTTTCTTGGTGTGACTTTACTTAGTTGTTTAACTAGAAACTTAATCAGAGAATAATTGTTACCAACCCTACAAGTAATGCTGACCTTCTATGCTCTAAAGTGGGTCATTGTGAAAGACTTCAGGATTATATCTTTAATCAGATGACGTCATCGATATCTGAAGACGCCTAAATAAGGAGACTTAAATAAGAGATGCCATCAAAGCCTATCCATATATTCAACTTTATAGGAATACTAGCTGTCGCCCGAGACTCCGTCTGCGCGGAATTAAAGCAATTGATAGGATATGTGTTCTTCCAGACTATGTTCTATATGTATGCCAAATTTCATCGAGATCCATACAGCCGTTCTGTAGATACCTTCAAACATTTATTCATCCATCCATTTAAATATTCCCATTTATAATATTAGTACGACAAAGTTTAATACAAGCTAGTATTGGCTTCATTGGTATATTACGGATTTTTAAACAGGATTTCTCCTACTTCAATAGTTATTGAGGACAGTTCACGATACATTTGATTATGATAATTCGGTTTAGTATCACCGTTATAATAAACCGTTTAAAAGAACAACGTATAGTCGAATTTTCGGTTGGTGTGAATGGTTTCTAGAAAAATATTAGGGCTGTACAAGAGGTAATTTGAAAACACAACAATGTAAATAAACGCCCCTGACACAAAATAATGTACGCCCGCACATGATTTGCATTGCACAACCTTAGATAACGCACTTTAAAGGTTTCTGTTCATGTCCACGGCTGTCAAGGCTGTTACCAGTTATGGGATTTTGATTTTCGAACGTTTTTATCGTGTGCCAGTTACATTTAGCGAAAGAGGTTTTATATGTACTCGTTGGACACGTTTTTAAATTTGGAATGGTTGAATTTAATCGTCAACTAGTTGATATTATCACTTGGTTTGTCACTTTAATTTTATTTAATATTATAAATAATTCCGCGCGGACAGAGTCGCGGGCGACAGCCAGTGAAGTACAAAAATGGAAGACTTCAAATAAAAAGTGCTGTGATTAGGCTTTAATGCATGAAATTATTATATACTTAAAGGATAAAATTAAGGAAAAACTTAAACTACTTAAGGAAAAAGATAAAAAATACTAGGAATTCAGTTTTAGTGTATCGAATATCATTGGCTTTATACTGCTCACATCGCACGCGTGGGCGCATGTCAATATTACCACTCTGAACACGATTGCGTGTGACCAAAGTTACAGACTGATGTGATTTAACTATAACTATGTTAATAAATTACTTATAATCAGGTTACTTTAATTATTAGTTAAGCCAAGTTTTCTTAAAAAATCATTTGACTACGAAACCGTTTTTAGAAGCAGCGTATTTGGTTTCATTATTCCTAGTCCTAGAATAATCAGAACTAGTTTCCTTCTAAATCACTTTTCTATGTAATCAATTTATAAATATATTTTCTACATCTTTCTTATGCTTGTTTGTATGTGAAGTGAAAGAGATGTTAATATGTTTTTTGCAACTATTTATAAGTTCAATTGTACAAAACTTTTTCTTTTTATTTTCTATTATAATAACGTTACTGAAATCTGACGTTGCGCTGTTTTGAAAAAAAAGTTAGTTTCAAAACGCTCGTCGCTTATGACTTATGGCAAACAGCGGAGTCATAATATTGCGACTCTGTATAGTAAGTAGATGTTTACTTCGTTTTACGCATTACAATTGCTTATCTAGTTAAAAGGGGTTCACATCGTGTTTATAAATAATTATTGCTGTTTGGTATTTATAGGCTTAAGGTTTACATGTATCCTACAAAGGGCAAGTAATATGTTTTTAAGGATATTGCGCGAACTTAATAACGTGACACGGTTAAAGTTAATTTAGGACGAAGTAATAATTTTTTTATAACCAATATTTTTTAAGTTATTAATATCGACCAATAGGCGACGAGAGAGCGTCGGTGGCTTAGGGGTTTCAGCACTTGACTTGCAATCTGCAAGTCCTGGGTTCGAATACCGACATGTACCAATGTGTTTTTCGATTTTCGATTGACATATGTACATTTATCCGACGTTCTTGCGGTGTAGGAAAGCATCGTGATGCAACCTGCACATATCTGAGATGTAATTCAAAGATATGTTTGAAGTCAACCAACCCGCACTTGGCCAGCATGGTTGACTCTGGCTTAGTCACCCCTAGCTTAGGGTAGACTCCGAGCCCCTCAGTGGGAAGTATAGTGAGTTGATGATGAATGGGCGATCAGTAGTTTTTTAATATATAAGTGGGAATTTTGGAATTTTATCGATAATCAAATTTTTTTAATACTTATTTCTAATATAGTGAAATCTAGTATCATGAGTACAGCCCTGGTTTAATAGGACAGGGTTGTAATCAAAAATTATTTACGTAATAGATTCAATCAAAGTCATTCACTTTTTAAACGTTTAGATTAGAGCCTATTGTATCTAGTTCAATGGGATGATTGGGCGCAAGGTCATGATAGAATACATCTGTCTGTCTGTTACTTCGGCTAATGTATGTAATTGTTTCATACGTCATCCGAGTTACGACAGTTAAGAAATGTTTAATATATTATATATTTGTAGTATTTTCGACTTTATTGTTTATAGTATAAGTGTTAGTTTAGTTTGATTTATTATGTTATTATAATTTCGACTTGTTCGCACGGAATTAAAAAAAAATCTCATAATTAGTCTATGTGTTCTTCCAGACTATGTTCTACATGTATGTCACAGCGAGATTCATGCAGCCGTTTTGGAGATACCTTCTAACAAACATACATCAAAACATTCGCATTTGCAATATTACTAGCTGTCGCCCGCGACTCAGTCCGCGTGGAATTAGAAAACCTTAATAAGTGGCCTATGTGTTCTTCCAGACTATGTTCTATATGTGTACCATCATTGAGAGATACCTTCAAACAAACAACCATCCAAACATTAGCATTTATATAAGTAAGATGTGATTAAGTGGAGTTTGAGTTAAATCACACTTTGACTTTTTAAAAAGCGTGGCGTAATCAACGCTCAAGTGTTACATGAGCAAATATAATTTCCCTGAGTCCGTGTTATGTTTAGTTCACGTAATATCCTGCAAGAAACATAAGGTCTGCAAATCAAGAAGAAATTCAAGAAGCGAGCTTATCACTATCTCAAAGGCCGGCAACGCATCTGCGGTTCCTCTGGTATTGCTGATGTCTATGGGCGTCGTTGAGCACCTCGGTGTTCCCGCTGCTCGTTTGCCCCCTTCTGTTATAAAAATACTGTGTTTTGGTATGATAAGGCAAATATTACTAAACATACCTAGCTATTTGGGTTAGGGATATAAGGTTTTAATAGATGGGGGGTTCCTGTATCTTCAGGGAACACAACGCTGCATGAGTAATCCAGCAAGACGCTTCCTAATTCTGCCAAAATACCAAAACGACTGCTGTATATAGACATTTCCTAGTTCTAGATGTGTTGCATACCTTAAATGGATAGAGACGAGACGTACCGATAGGATAGTTTCCCTTCTTATACGTCCCCGCCCGAGCTATGCCTAAAGCCTCTTCCCATCTTACATGAAATACTTATTCGTGCTTTGGAAATCTATGCTTAAATTTAAATTGTTTGTAATCATGTTTTCTCTGCCTATACAATAATATATAGCTATCTCTTTTGTTCCTATTAAAAAAACAGAGATAACAATATGTTTTTGTGCAGGAGTACAAGTTACGGTTAATCTTATATAGTCAGGATACCTCTATATGTTAAAACATAATCTTTTACTTTGTAATAATCATAAAAACTGTTTTATGATTCTTACAATATCCTCTCTTAAATGGTTGCCATAAAGTTAACTACTTTGCATGTTATTTAACTGATATTTTGATAACAGTTTTAACCGTTTTTAATAACGAACTCATGACTTTTTGAACGTATTACAGTGTGGTGAGCTTACATGACTATGTATTTTATCTCTTACTAATATATTCCGTGTAAAAGAGACGGAAAATGTACTCTATATTTGATTAACAGTTACGTAACGGCACGCGCGAAATGTAACTTCCTTTCGCCCGCCATATTGGATAAGTCGGTAATCCGCGTTCCGAATTTAAATTGCTTCAAATCTTTGCAGATATGTGCGGGTCATTTCCTGGGCTGTGATTGGTTAGTTTGGTGACGCGATGACGTAATCTCGCCTCTGATTGGCGGATAGTTTCCCGCGTTAAGATGTCGGGTCTGCCGGCAAGGAGCGATGATGTTATCAATGGTGTCGACGTACGGGAACAAGGAAGTGCCTTAAGGTTAGTTCTATTACCCTAATTAATCTCCTAATCTAGATTTGTTATAATAAATCTGCACTAAATTAATTAGTGTCCGGACTTAGAGTTGAACGATGTTTAATTTATACTTTTGAAGACTTTTTTCAAGTATAAACTAATAAAATAACCAGCAAACATTGACCTGTAGATAATTTTCGCTTATGTTAGTGATCGTAACCATGAGTTATCAAAACTATACGAAAAGATACTAAAGGTACGCGTTCATTGGCCGGACGCATCGCACGCATGGGTTAAATGGATTTGCTTTATCTTACGATGCGGATGATGAACGCAGCGCTATGTAAAATCATACAAAGCAAACTAAAATCCTCAGTGGGCCAATGGACGCGTACCTTAACAAACTGTAAGAGATTTCTTATCGGCATGTATTAGATATTTGGGTTGCCAGGTGACAGTATCAAACGTCCAAACAGATAAAAGGATTTTTTCTTATTAAAATGCATTTGAAAATTTCACTTAAATCTGCGTCAAATTACTGGTTTAACGGATTTCTCAATTGTTAAGATTCGTCGAAACAATAGAAGAGAAAAAAGATTTCTCAAGTGATTTTCTTTTTTTTATTACCTTTACGGGAAATTTAAGTTGTTTCAAAGTTACGCTCTAAAAGTTAATTGGTACAGCGTTGTTTTTGTACAATTAGGTACAAGGTTCGAATCCCGTCATGTACCAATCTGATTTTCGATTTATATATTGTTAGGAAGAAAATCCGACAGTCGGTGTACTGGCGCAACACTAGCCTCACTAAAATGTCGACGTTTATGTCCCCTCACTAATCAATCTGCCACTTGACTTGGTAATGTAAGGGCGCCATTCGCGCCATTCGTGCCAAAGGATTCTCACTAATAATGTCTAAAAAATGGACATTCATACGAAGTTCTTATGGTGAAGGAAAACATTGTGATGCTGCACATATCTGTTGAATTTCAAAGCTATACGTGAAGTCAACCCACACTGAGCCAGTGTTGCCTATAATTTAGGGTTAGGCTCCGAGCTCAGTGAGGACTTATAGTGAGTTGATGATGATGACATTAAAGTTAAGAAAACATATACGAGAAATATTCAGTTTCGTCTTCAACAAAATCCTGTAAGTGAAAACAATCTGACTGTCAAGATTTGTTGGTCTAATATGCTTGGAGTTCACGCAATTAAGGCCTTTATTACTTACTGAATAAAGATTAGTTTCGTATTCCGTCAGTGTTCAGTAGAGCGAATAATTAGTTATGCTGCGTTGTTACGTTAGCAAAGATTTTTTTGATATAATTCTGTATTCAGTAGACCTTAAACGAGAAACCGTCTTAGCTTTCAACTAGTTTTTGCTTAATCTTTTTAAAGTATCAATAAATGGATTTAAAGTTATCTTACGTTCGTTTCATCTCTTACCTCTGGTTTCCTCTGGCATGAGAATCGTCACCCTTTTTTTTCTAGAGAGGAATGCTTTATGCATACTCCGCGCCCCTGGGAGGACGCGGTAGTTATGTGGGATTCTCCTCCATAGCGGAGGCATACCCACTAAACCTCTCTCTACCTCCAACGCATCGGGACGGGGCCACGGGCACGCTTTCGCTCTCGTCCGCGGAGAACCGTCATCCTAGTAAAAAAAACTTTTACCATATAGAATTTCTTTGCCTCTTATTTATAATTTCACTAGTTGTCGCCCGCGACTCCGTCCGCGAGGTAATTAAAATTAACGTAATTAGTATCCTATGTGTTCTTTTAGGCTATGTTCTACAACTATGCCAAATTTCAACGAGAGCTATGCAGTCGTTCTGAAGATACCTTCAAATAAACATCCATCCATCTGAACATTCGTATTTATAATATTAGTAAGAAGACACGTCCAGTGATCGCTTAAAATTGATTAAATAATCTATTCGATCTATACATTTGTATCATTCAGTTCAAAGACCGGGTTATGTATGGATGTTTTGTTGCGTGTGAACCGGACAATTCCGGATGCATCGGTCGACATCGATGGGTGACCAATTATTGACTTATGTTATTGACTATCTTGAATAGAAGCAATGTTAGTCTATATGTGAATTTCTGATACCAAATTTCCGTTTAAAACATATTTTTATCTCTGTTTTATCAAAGATAATGACAGGGATGACGATATGTTTTACACAGAGATTGAAAAGAACTGTGTGTAAGTACATCTTGAATGTCAAGAGTTATTTGGCCAGACTGACAGGAGTTTTATTGTGTGGGTGATTGATTCTGTATGTTTTATTTTCATCATCAGCTCATTATACGTCCCTACATAGGGGCTCGGAGCCTACCCTAAGTTAGGGACTAGGCCATAGTCAAATACGTTGGCACACTAGGATTTGACTCCACATATCTTTGAATTTCTTTACAGATATGTACAGTATCACGATGTTTTCCTTCACCGTAAGAACGTCGGATAAATGTACATATGTAAATCGAAAGTCAAAAGACATATTATTTTGGTGTTTTGGTTCGTATTATTTTACGTAGTATAGTAGTGCAGAGTTAGTTAAGGTTAATTATATTTTAATTAACTTTTGCATTGTATTGCAGTGATAAATGTTACTAACAACTTTCAAGAACAAATCGTAACTTATAACCTCGATGTGACGACAGAGAATAAACATTGAACACAGTGGTTGTCAACCTTTGGTCGATTATATTAATATAATAATACTATTTTCAATCTTACCTCTTACTAATATTATAAATGCGTGTATTAGGATGGATGGATGTTTGTTTGAAATTATCTTGAGAATGGCTTGAGAGTCTGGAAGAACACATAGGCTATTAATTTTAATTCCGCGCGGACGGAGTAGCGAGATACTGCTAGTTAACAGTTAAATTGTGGGTTTTTATTATTGAAAAATTTGAAAAACATGCGTCCTCTTCTTTTTTTGAACAAATGGTATGGATTAATAAAATATGTCGTTACCTAATCAATTTTCAAAATATTATTAATTCGAAATTTCTAATGTTATGCAGAAAATGCGAAAACTTGATTGATTGAATTGAAAAGTTGATTCTACTAATTCTGGCAATTATTGTTCCTTGACTAAAAAAGGTTGATTACCACTGGACTAAGGTAATTATTTTTTGTCGTTTACGTGACGAACACTTTAAAAGACAAAGGAAACGACGTAGAGCCAAGGCCTTTGATGTAATTATCATTGAAACCAGTTTATATTCATTAATAAATTTTATAGTAATAAAAAGTTCGTTGATGAAATAAAATGATTCTCATAAAAAAAAGTTTACGTGAATCAGGTCACCTGATACCGCTGCGTAAAAAATCTTACGCAAAGTTTTATAATAAGGGGTTGGATATGTTATGAATTTTAATATTTAACAACTAGCTGCCGCCCGCGAATCCTTCTAAGACTATGTTCTACACCCGAGCCAAATGTCATCAATTTCCATTGAGGTGTTCAGGAGAAACCTTCATACATACCTTCTTTCCAAACAGTTACGACTTAGGGACCATCAAGAAAAGAGCGTACACCTCCATTAAAGGTCGGCAACGCATCTGCGGTTCCTCTGACGTTGCGGATGGCGATAGGCGTCGGATCAACTAATTTTAAGCGATTCGTTGCTCGTTTGCCCCCTTCTCCTATAAAAAAAAATACAAACATCCATCCATACATACATTCAACCATTCGCATTTATAATATTACTAAGATAAGACTATCATTCTTTACCTATGGAATAGATTGTCAAACATTTAAGATAATCATTTAAAGGGACATATGGAAATGACCATTATTTTACTCTGGCAACATTAGCTGACGTAACACTAATGAAGCAACGCAGATGTCGATGTGTTTACACTGTATGTTTACTATGTACAAGGCTGTCGTAAATGGATATAAGTAGTTAAGAAATCACAGAACGCTTAGGCTATTTTTTTTAAATTCTACGCAGACGAAGTCACGGGCGACAGCTAGAAGTACATTAAAAAAATTAAGACATTGAAATTATAAATTTATAAGAATAAACGAACCATAAATTGTCGTGTTTTTTGTGTGTGACAACCCTAGATATTTTAGCATCGCAATAGTAAACAAGATGGCTCTTATCAGTGATAACCCAAATCTTAACTGTAAATATATGATGGAACCATTTTACATGTCTTCTAGAAAAATCTACGTAACATCTGTTGCACGAATAGACGACTTGGGAATTACTGCGACCACACAGAAGACAGGCGTCAAGTGGAAGAAATTCCGCGTTATGTCCGATGACTATTTAGCCCTAAATTAAGTTCCCTTTCCCTTACTTATAAGAAAAGGAAGGTAAAGTGGATTTTACGGTGACAGGGAAGCATATGATTGGGAAATATTCTCTTCTTGTAAATTATCTCCTCCGACGATTAAAGGTAGCAATGCTATTGCGTATGTCTGTTGCTAACAGTTGCTTCGCTATTTCGGCGAATTAAAGGTGCAAAGCTGCTTGCTTGTTTGCCATCGCAATATAAAAAACATAATTACAAAAATAGATAATGCTAAAATCAACTCTCGATTTGATACTTCTATTATACTAGCCGTTGCCCGCGACTCCTTCCTCGCGAGTTGAAAATAGACTTAATAAGTAGTCGATGTTTTCTTCCAGGCTGTGTTCTATATGTATGCCAAATTTCAGCGAGATTTATGCAGCCGTTCTGGAGATATCTTCTAACAAACATCTATCTATCCATTCGTTGAAACTTTCGCTTTTACTATATGTTTTATTATGTATTGAACAAAAGTATATAACTGTGTATTGTTGATGGTATTCAGATTGTCTATAACTAGTTAAGGCTTCATTTTAACCTTGAACATCAGCTGTTATTCCATTATGCGGTTATGTATTACATAAATACATTGTTAAGGATTTATATATTTACATATACGTTGAAAGATATCTTTGTTCCAGGCTATGATCTACACCTATGCCAAATTTCATCTAGATCTACACAACCGTTGTAGAGATACATT